TTAAATATTAATATAAATCAAGTGAAAATTTTTCAATTTACAATTTCGATTAACCAAATTGAAAAGTAGAAAGGAGCTTCAGATAAGATTTAGTAAATTATAATAATATATATTTTTATTTTTGTCTCTTTCCTGAAGACGTGTAGAATCTTATCTTCAGAAATAGAGACATTACTATGATAAATTTTGTATTCTGTAATGCTACAGAGCTCACTATAAAGCATTGATATAAAGATAGATTTTTCAAGGATGGAGGAAGTTTTTATACAAAACTATAATGTTTATTGACTATTACTGGACAAATTAATTAACAAATTTTTGTTTTATTTTGCATTTAAATTGCTTTTCCTGTGCAGCTTCATAAATTATGGAATAGTAAAGGCCACATATACATCATATATTGCTCAGAAATTTTTGGTTACACTTTCATGAATTTTGCAGTACTAAATAAACAAATTTTATACTTAATATTCACGTGGTAGATTTTGCAATACAATTACTATTAACAGATTGTCTAAGGAAAAGACTATGTTTAAGGATAAATCTAAACATATGTGAAGCATGTGCATATAATTAATGATTAAAGGCACCATAATACCTCAGTCACAAAGGGAGGTATATAGAGCAGAATTAGTACCATTTTATAACAAATGTATTTTACATTAATATAAGTTGCACATATGTATTCTTGTGAAGAAATTAGCATTACTGAAAAATATCAATGTTTTATTTAATTATGTTTCATTATTATTAACATCAATATTAAGAAAGAAATATAAAAATTCTATGCCAAGTGTTATTAAATGATAAATATGTTCATGAAATCTTTTTTTTATGATAAATGTGTGTGACATTGATTAATAGCTTTATATTTATATAATGTGTTCTTAATAATAACATGTATAAAATATAAAATTTTAATTTTTGCTAATAAAATGTGACATTATTATTATTAAAATTTATAATTAACTATACATTTTCAGAAAGTAATAATATTAAACTATATTTTTAAATAAAATATTTTTAAATCTTATAAAAATGTATAATTCAATATAATATTTAATTAAAAAATTATTACACATTATAGATAGTTATATGTGTATATATATATAAATTATACATTTATAGAAAAAAATGCACTTGGCATAGAGCAGTAATTTATTTCTTAAATACCAAAGTTTATAATTATATCAAAGTATAACATTGATTTATCAATTAAAGAATTCTATCAAATTAATTGCACCTGAAACTGTTTCAAATATTTTACATATACAAAAATTTTGTTATATATTATTTAAAAATTCAATATTTATAAAATTTACTTTTTATATAAATATTTTCAGTTTTATAGAATTAAAAATAAATAAAAAAATTTCTATATATATAAATTATTTTTTAAAGATGCAATGTTGTACTTTGATTTTAATATATTAATAATTTTTTATTATAAATAATTGACAAATGCTAGTCATAAATATTGAGTTTTAAGTTAGAGTTCAATATTGTTTATTAATAAATATCAATTTACTTCCAAATATTTGCATTTATTTTTTTATCTTTTTCAAAGATATAATCCAAACATAAATTTAATAAACAAAAAACTTTTAAAAATATGTAAGCTCTTTGTTATTTTAATAAAAGTTACAATAGTTATTAATTATAATAAAGTTACAATATTTAATAAAAGTTGCAATTTTATATTTTTTAACTTATGTTTTCTAGTCTAATATAATTTATCAAATATATGCGTGCAATGATTATTAGAGCAAAGGATGCATGATAATCAGAAATCTATTATAAATTTTTTAATTTTGTAAATATTTAAGATAATATAAAGTATGTTTTTCAATAAGTATAATAAAAAAATGAACGATTCATTGAAATAAATGTACTATATAAAAATTTTGAATTTGAATAATAGATATATTTATTTAATTTTATATTTTTAAATTCAAATTTTAGGAAAATATGCTAATTTTGGAAAATTTTAGGAAAATAAATATGCTAATTAAATTGTTATAAATAAGTTTTATAATTTGTAAAAATAATATTAATTTTATTATAAGTTTTAAATGTACAAATTTTATTATATTCTAAAACTATTATATATTTATTTAAAATATTATTCTTCTTTTTTGATAATATAGTAAAATGATTAAATAAAAAATTATTTTTTACTAAATATTTAATACTATTTTCATAATTTAAATAAAATGACTTTGCAATTTAAATTTTTCATACTTATGAGCACAAGAAAAAAAATTTTTTTTGTTACTTTTATTATAGTTAAGAGTATTCTAAATATAAACAAATACATATGTATTTGATTACCCATGTTTGTACTGTAATGTTAAAAATAAAATACATTTTTTAAGACTAATAAATTGAGTTATTAATTTTTTTTAATTAAATACACTTTATCACTGTTACATATGATTGTAAAACATTTTTTTAAGTATATATCACATTTCGATAAAATTTTAATTTAAAGACAATATATTTGCACTGAATCATATGACATTTTAATTATAATAACAATTTTGTTTTCAATTAACATTAAACACTAAACATTTTAATTTAAGGTGGAATACCAAGTGTTTTCCTAACTAATTTTTGAGCAATTCTTTCAAATTCTGAGCGATCTTCCCTCCACATTTTAGCAGCATCAACATTTGCACCACTTTCATCATTTGGCTCTGCTAACATACTTACCACACTTAACAATATTTTTTCTACACTTTGAACTGGACTCCATCTTTCTGCACTACTTTCATAACCCATGGGATCATCACCAGGTGCATGTAATATACTTATACATACTCTGCCATCTGCATAGACTAAAGAAATATGAATTCAAAATTTTTAAGACTCAAAATAAAATAAACATAAATTAATGTTTTAATAAAAAAAATCTTACTATTTGGATGAAACATCTCACAAGTAAATTGCATCTTTGGTGGACTTAATGGATAATCTGGTGGAAATATTAATTTTGCTGGAAAAACTCCACCTTCAAAACATGTTCCTTCTGGTCCACTATAAACAGATATTAAATTTTTAATTAAAATTAAGAAAAAATAAAAATATATATCAGATAGATATTTTATTATATATATAATATATATATAATATAAAAACAAATTATCATAAATAAAAAATTAATAATTAAAATTATATATTTTGTTAAAATACATACGTGATTAAGGCTTCCCATTCGAAGAAATTTTCTTCATTTATTGGACCAGCGATAATACCTTCAGGTGGATTTAAGGTTAACTCTATAAATTATATATTATTATTTAAAATTAAATAAAAAAATAATAAAAGAAACAATTTTACATAATATCTATAATAAAATATGAATTGCAATAAATTAAATTTAATTCTCACGTTTATATTCTGCCATTAATCGTCTTAATGCAGAACCCGCCATTGTTTTGATCATGGGGTTAATGATAAGAATTAAATGAAATGTCAAAAATGAACATTAGGTTAAAGTAACAAGACGAATCCTTGACGTATAGCTATTTATTTTACGAATTTAAAGAAAATTTTGCAAAATATTATATTGTGTTATGCTCAAATAATGTTAATGTAAAAATTCAAATGGCAACAGAAGAACAAAAATATTTATCAGATATTATTAAAAATACACATGCTACGTTGCGACAAGAAGCTCAGAATTGCGGTCCTGAGATTGCGTGGGAACGACATATTCGTCGTAAAGATATTTTACAGGTTTGATTTTAAATGTTATTTATTGATTAATAAAATAAAATAAAAATAATATTCATAAAAGACTGTAGAATTTCATGAATAAATATTTTAGAAATATGCTTCTTCTATGCAAAAATTGGCAACTACATATTGGATGGAAAATAACTTAAATACCAAAAATTCAACATATTCAAGAATAGAATGGATTAAAAATCAATGTGAAGAATATTTTTTAAATAGTGGAAGACAGAAATATGATTTAAGAGAAGAAAATATAAAACAGAAAATAGATAAATATTATATAAAATCTGAAATCGCTATAAATTATAATGTAAATAAAAATAAGAAGATACAAAAATATTTTGATAAAAATAATGAAAAATTAGTTGAAAAAATATCATTGTTAGATGTAGGCAGTTGTTATAATCCATTTGGGATTTTAGATATGTTTGATGTATTTGCAATAGATTTGAATGATATACCAGAGAAAGTTTTACATTGTGATTTTTTAAATGTTCAAATTGGACAAGAAACATTAATTTCTAATGATAAATATCAAGTTTTACAATTGTCTGAAAACACTTTTCAAGTAGTTGTATTTTCCTTATTTTTGGAATATTTACCCTGTCCAAAACAAAGATACATATGTTGTAAAAAAGCTTATGATTTATTGCAAACTGGTGGTATTCTTTTCATTATAAGTCCTGATTCAAAACATGTTGGTGCAAATGCTAAGATAATAAAATCATGGAGATATGTTTTGAGTAAGTTAGGATTTATGAGAATAAAATATGAAAAACTGCGACATATACATTGTCTAATATTTAGAAAGTGTATGTTTAAAGATGTTGCAACAAGATGGGCAACTTTGCAAAAATTACCCCAAAATGATGCTTTGTATTTAAATGACATCTCAATTTATATTCCTCAAGATTTACGAAATATATTTGATGAAATTAAAGAACAAGAAAAGGAAAAATATGATACGAATGAAATAATGAATATGTTCAATGAATTACCATTTCAATAAACGTAATAAGAATAAAAAATTAATTATATTATAATTATAATTTTTATAATATAGAACATAGAATTTTAAAAATCTATCACAATATAAAATAAATAATTATTTTTAAATTCAATTATTTTATTAATTATTTTATTAATTATTTTATTAATTGTATTCTTTCAAATTATATTTTAAAAGA